GTCACGTAAAAGATTTAATTCTATTCTTTTGGCTTTTCTTCTTCAAATTCCCTGATGTTTACAGTTTTCTTTATGAAGCAAATCGGTGATATCTGAAGGATCATGTGACACTGAAGACTGGAGTAATGATGCTGAACATTCAGATTTGATCACAGGAATAAATTACATTTTATCCAAATAGAATCCAAAATAGAAAACAGCTGTTTTAAATTGTCATAATATTTCACAATATCGCTGTTTTTATTGTATTTTTTGGCAGCTTTGGTAAGCATACGAGACTCATTTCAAAAACATTAAAACTATCCAAAATTTTGAAAGCTAGTATTCAAAAATACACTTTAGTGTGGAAACAATCTGGCAACCCAATTTGGTTCCGATATGAGCCTTTATGTATAGCAGTAAAAACTTCATCCACTGGGTTGTTTTAACCCAACTTTGGGTCAAATATGGACAAACCCTGCCATTGGGTTACATTTTTAAATCATATCTTAACCCAATGTTTGAGTTTGTCCATATTTGACCCAAAATTAAGTTAAAACAACCCAGCATTTTTTAGAGTGTCAGATATGCAGGTATACAGTATATCCCTCTTTAGTGATGTTGAAAGTCTTGATCAGATATCTGTATATGATTACCTCTTTAGTGATGTTGTCCTGCACCAGGCTGTAGAGGGGCACGACGCGGCTGACCTCCAGCAGGACCGGCGAGGGACCGGGCGTCTCGCGGGCCGACTGTCTGCACAGGTGACAGGCGTCCGGGCAGCTCCCCTTCTCCTGACAGCGGATCTCTACGCCGGACACCAGGTCATCAGACAGAAGCTGAGTCTTCAGGAGACCCGACAGGTAGATGATGAACGGGACAGCTTTCAGGTCCCTCCGGCCACCCTGATCCGTGACTTCTGGAGGAGAGAGACAGGAGGAGGTCAATGGTGTGCCGGATGCATTTATGGAGATTTGAGACTCGGATCGAGGCCAGCGCTGAATCCGCACTGTGATGTCAATATAAGAGCCTATTATGTTTGAACTGAGGTGTACAGCAATTTCAATGTCACATTTACAAGAGCTTAACGCTATTTACTGATGGAAGATCAGAATAAAATTGACAGGATCTGAGAATTTTGGTTATCTTTGCTTCACGTGTGTGTGTGTGTGTGTGTTTGACCCTCACCCTTCCCTCGCACTTTGTAACACATCTTTCAAATTAGCTGATATTATTAAGAGACTGACTTTGAAACAGTCACGAGGGTCTACAGATGACATCTTTGTGACAGTAGAATGGCTTTAGGCAGTATTTGTACAACCCTGACTTACCGTATATTTGTCAGACAAAAGTTTTTCAAATGCAAATTATTTGTAATTTTTGTTACATAAACCAAAAGGTTTGGTCCAGATCATCTGAGCATTATGAATAAGCATAATGACACCATTTTATAGTTGATACATGGGCCTGCATCAGAAATCTATCATGAAACTGTGATGAACCGTCTCTGCTAGTAGAAATACACAGGTTTGCAGTGTTCGTGCACAGAACCCTTGGCAGACACAAAACAATGTGATTATGTGGGGAAAGATTTTAATTGAGTGCTGGTACGTCCTTGAGATGGCTGAACAGATGTGCAGTTCTGAATAATAGCATCTGTTCTCCGCGCTCCACAGACCAGTCCCCCGAACATTCCCGTCCACACTGTGCCTGGCAGTGGAATGAGTCATTATGCAGGAGTTTAGCATGACAGGCAAAGACGAGGAGGAGGAGGAGGAGGGGGAGAGGATAATGAGGAGGAGAGGAGAGGAGGAGGAAGAGGAGGAGGATGAAGAGGAGGATGAAGATGAGGAGGGGAGGAGGAGGAGGGGAAGAGGAGGAGGAGGAGGAGGGGGAAGAGGAGGAGGAGGAAGAGGAGGAGGGAGGAGGAGGAGGGGGAGGAGGAGGGGAAGAGGAGGAGAGGAAAAGAGGAGGGGAAGATGAGGAGGGGAGGAGGAGGGGAAGAGGAGGAGAGGAAAAGGAGGAGGGGGAAGAGGAGGAGGAGGAGGAGGAGGGGAAGAGGAGGAGGAGGAAGATGAGGAGGGGAGGAGAAGGAGGGGAAGAGGAGGAGAGGAAGAGGAGGAGGGGAAGATGAGGAGAGGAAGAGGAGGAGGGGAAAGAGTAGGAGGAGGAGGAGGAGAATGAAGAGGAGGAGGAAGAGGAGGAGAGGAAGAGGAGGGGAAGATGAGGAGGGGAGGAGGAAGAGGGGAAGAGGAGGAGAGGAAGAGGAGGAGGGGGAAGAGGAGGAGGAGGAGGAGGAGGAGGAGGGGAGGAAGATGAGGAGGAAGAGGATGAACAGGAGGAGGGGAAGAAGAGCAGGAAGAGGAGGAGAGGAAGAGGAGGAGATGAGGAGGGGAGGAGGAGGTAGAGGAGGAGGAGGAGGGGTGAGGAGGAAGAGGAGGGGTGAGGAGGAGGAGGGGGAAGAGGAGGAGGGGAAGAGCAGGAGAGGAAGAGGAGTAGGGGGAAGAGGAGGAGGAGGAGGGGGAGAGGAGGAGGAGGAAGATGAGGAGGGGAGGAGAAGGAGGGGAAGAGGAGGAGAGGAAGGAGGAGGAGGGAAGATGAGGAGAGGAAGAGGAGGAGGGGAAAGAGTAGGAGGAGGAGGAGGAGAATGAAGAGGAGGAGGAAGAGGAGGAGAGGAAGAGGAGGGGAAGATGAGGAGGGGAGGAGGAAGAGGGGAAGAGGAGGAGAGGAAGAGGAGGAGGGGGAAGAGGAGGAGGAGGAGGAGGAGGAGGGAGGAAGATGAGGAGGAAGAGGATGAACAGGAGGAGGGGAAGAAGAGCAGGAAGAGGAGGAGAGGAAGAGGAGGAGATGAGGAGGGGAGGAGGAGGAGGTAGAGGAGGAGGAGGAGGGGTGAGGAGGAAGAGGAGGGGTGAGGAGGAGGAGGGGGAAGAGGAGGAGGGGAAGAGCAGAGGAAAGAGAAGAGGAAGAGGAGTAGGGGAAGAGGAGGAGGAGGAGAAGAGGAAGAGGAGGAGGAGGAGGAGGAGGGGGAAGAGGAGGAGGAGGAGGAGGGGGGAAGAGGAGGAGGAAGAGGAGGGGAGGAAGATGAGGAGGAAAAGGAGGAGAGGAAGAGGAGGAGGGGAAGATGAAGAGGGGAGCAGGAGGAGGTAGAGGAGAGGGGTGAGGAGGAAGAGGAGGAGGGGGAAGAGGGTGAGGAGGAAGAGGAGGAGGGGGAAGAGGAGGAGGAGGAAGAGGAAGAGGAGGGGAGGAAGAGGAGGAGGGGAAGATGAAGAGGGGAGCAGGAGGAGGTAGAAGAGGAGGAGGAGGAGGGGTGAGGAGGAGAGGAGGAGGGGGAAGAGGAGGAGGAAGAGGAGGAGGGGAAGAGGAGGAAGAGGAGGGGGAAGAGGAGGAGGAGGAAGAGGAGGAGGAAGAGAATGAACATGAGGAGGGGAAGAAGAGGAAAGGAAGAGGAGGAGGGGAAGAGGAGGAGGAAGAGGAGGAGGAGGGGAGAGAAGGAGGGAAAGAGGAGGAGGAAGAGGAGGAGGAGGGAAGAGGGCGAGGAAGAGGAGGAGGAGGAAGAAGAGGAGGAGGAGGAAGAGGAGGAGTATGAAGAGGAGGAGGAAGATGAGGATGCAGGTGAGGAGGAAAATGAGGAGGAAGAGGAGGAAGACGAAGAGGAAGAGGATGAAGAGGAGGAGGAAGATAAGGAGGATGAAGAGCTGTAGCAGAACAGAAAGCTGTCTGAGGCGGTTGTGTCATCATCAACAACAACACAGAGAAGATCCAGAGCCTCAGTCAGTGTTGAGCACACATTTCAAAGAGTCTCTCCCCCAAAAAGAAAACATCTGCAGTACACACGTGTGTGTTCTACTCTTTGCTGGTGTGACCTTAACTGTTTTTTATTAAAAACTATGCCATCTGCCTTGAGCCGACACCGGGGAAACAACAGAGTTTCAACAGACAACCGAGAGACAGCGAGACAACACTGCATTCCTCACTGACAGAATGAACTACATATCCCATCATGCATTGTGAACGATGTAATCAAACGTTGACTTGCATTTTGTCGGCTTTATTATAAAATCTAAACTATTTAACTTATCAAACTACAAAGCCTATGCATTTAATTATTCATTTACGCATTATTGTTTGGTCTTTATGGAATTAGCCGCAGATGCTTAGCTAAACCACCACTTAAAGGGATAGTTCACCAAAACAATTATGAAATCTCTCATCTCTGACTCACCCTCATGTTGTTCCAAACCTGTATGAGTTTCTTTTTGCAATTTGCTGCATATAATCTTCTACCATTCAAATACTAATAATTTAATATAAATCATAATTACCACTATTAATTACTCTTTGCTATTGAGGTAATACGATGTAGTTGTATGCACGTTTGACAGAATGATACTTTCAGACAGAGATTTGCTGCCATCTAGCAGTTATTACACTGCAGTTACTTTTTATGGTAAAACAGTGGGGGAAATAATAATAATAATAATTCACGAAGTTCTTTTCCTTTTTCTCATTCATCTATCAAAAATTGTTACTAAACATAATTCCACTATTTTATAACACATCTGAATACATATTAGTATTTTATGCTAAGTCTAAGTCTGTGTAACAATAACATCTGTCATTCTCAGATCAATTCTTGTAATGAAATATAATATAATACAATGATATGTTCGTTTAATATTATATAGTCATTTCAGTTTTACTTTATAGCAGCCTTTTTAATTTATTTGAATGTAATTAGTGTAGTATTCCCAATAATACAATTATAATTCGCTGGTTTTCTTCTTATTATTCTTCCTATCTCTTTAATTAATTTATTTATTTATTTCGCATCCACCCAATGTGTTTCCAGCATCAGTTCAGTTTATACTTTTCATGTGCCACTGAAATAAACTTTGCGCATCAGGCATGACAACAGCAGCCTCTCATCTGATTGGCTCCAGCGCACATCACGCTTCCGCGGCAGCCAACGAAATCTCACTGGGGGCGGGACTTACACAAAGAATCAACCTCCGTTATGACGTCACCTCCGCAGTGTCGCGCGCACCCGCTGACATGAGAGACGCGCGCTTCGTCACATCAAGCAAAAAGCTACTGTTGAACTAAAGGTAGGAGATCATGTAACAATCAACAATTAAACATGCATGAATGTTTTTCGCATGTTTTTTGACTGCGCTTTCATTTTGGTGTGCATGCACGCAGAAGACAGGAATGACGATACTCAGATCGCAGTGTTTTGAAGCTTTGGGCCTGTCAGTCCCAATTATTAGACATATAAATACACATAAACAGCATAAGTGTGATTATAAATGATGCATGCATTGCACTAGTACAAGAAGTGACAGTGCGTGGTCCAGAAACATTGTACAGCTGCTAGCCACCTGGCTACCAAAATAAACAAGACAGTCTGTGACTGCTGAGTTGTTTAAAAAAGTACATTTTAATAATAAGTACATATTATATGCCCTAGCATTTGAAAATGGATTGTATTATTATATTTTTAGTGGATCATTATCATATGATCCTGATGAGGTGCAAATGCATCAGTAGGTGTGGCAGGACAGCCAGTAAATACAGAAATAACATCAATGCATGTCATCATCAGACTGATTTTGTAATGACGTGACATTTTCTCATGGTTTCCTTCCCATCCCATCAATTGCTCTGGACTCTACTAACGTCATTATTAATGGATAATTGTGGAAGCGTGTTACTGACAACTTCAGGTTTAGATGTATAAAGTACAAGACAGAAAGGCGCAATTGCGAGATTTAAAGATAGAATTTTGGGATATAAAGTTGCAATTGCATGTTATAAAGTAAAAATTGGATGATATAAAGTCGGATTTGCGAGATATAAAGTCGCAACTGCGAGTTATAAAGTCAGATTTGCGAGATATAAAGTCAGAATTACGAGATTGAAAGATATGATTTTGGGATATAAAGTTGCAATTGCATGTTATAAAGTAAAAATTGCTTGAGATAAAGTTGCAATTGCATGTTATAAAGTAAAAATTGTGTGATATAAAGTCAGATTTGCGAGATATAAAGTCAGAATTGCAAGATTTAAAGATATAATTTTGGGATATACAGTTGCAATTGCATGTTATAAAGTAAAAATTGTGTGATATAAAGTCAGAACTGCGCGATATAAAGTCAGAATTGCGTGATATAAAGTTGCAATTGTGTGTTATAAAGTAAAAAGTGCGTGACAAAGTCAGATTTTGCGAGATATAAAGTCACAACTGCGAGTTATAAAGTCAGATATGCAAGTTATAAAGTCAGAATTGTGAAAATTAACCAGCAAAATTACCCTTTTTTTATTCTTTGGCAGAAACAAGCGTACATATGGTAATGCACTTAAAAAAAAAAAAAAAAAAAGAAATGTATAAGGCTCATTTTATTTCATTATTATTACTATACTTATATTTTACATTACAAATGTAGTATGTCTTACTTTCCTCACTTTCTCTTGGCATCTCTATTTAAATCTACATCAAGTGACATGCTTTTAACGGTTTCCCTACCGGCATTTCTATAAAAAGTTATCACCGCCAGAAATTTTGATCATTTTTACAAAAGTTTAATGCCCCCCCTGCATATTTTGTTCTATGAATATTTAAATATGAAATATTTAAGTAAAAAAACAACAACAAAAAAACAAATTTGACTTGTTGTCTTGGCTTGAGCTTCAATTATTCCTTTGTTTTCAATACTAGAATGTTGGTAAGTTTCATAAAAAAATATGTAATTTTAGGCAGTTTCGATGTATACGCTGATTGTTGATCACGTTATTTTACATATGCATCTGCGTACATATGATATCGCTTGTTTCTGCTTCTCCTTCACAAGTCTTTTGACCAGGAGTTTCAGTACTCTTTCATACGAGTCGTAATAGCGCCACCTAACGTATAACAGTGAGAACACGGAAAGACGAAAATGTCTGTCAATGACGTCAAAGAGTTATCTTCTGTCCACAAAAAAGCTGAAAACACCTTATTATCAGTCCCAGCCATGTTCTGAGTGTGTTAAAATACAGTGTTGTTGCACATTCTCTTTAAAGAAATTTCATGCAGACTACAAATGTAATCACAGCCTTATAAGGATTAGTACTCGCACTACTGTAGGCCATCTGACAATTTCGACCGATAACTTAAAGTTGCACTGTGTGATTTATACCCCTAACTAGTGGTGAAAATGTATATGACCATCCAGTGAATATTAGTTTCTGTTCCTCTCAATTCCGATTTCGTTTTAACTCCTACGGTGGCCAATGTAGTCCAAGATTAACATGGCTTCCGGTTCGACCTCGTCCATGAGTGTTAACTCAAACGTAAACGCGAAAGGCGACGCTTGAATTAACGGGTATGTCCCTCTTTGGCTAAAGTACATTCAAGATGGAGGGGCAACATGGCGACCGACATTAGAACCCCTCACCCGTATGTATTTTCAATGGCATATTATACACTCATTGCTTGAACGAAGTAAATATACATTAATGAGCACATATATTTTTTGAAAGAACTAAGTGTTTTTAGCTAAGAATAAACTAAAAGAGTTACACAGTGTAGGTTTAAGTAAAATTATAATTCTCCTTTTTGCAACTAAGGATTAGTTGTCGCACTACTGTAGGCCATCTGACAATTTCGACCGATAACAGAAGTAAAATTATAATTCTCCTTCTTGCAACTTTTTATTATAATGCACATCAAACACATAGACATGACTTTTTTCACCCTGTAGGCACTAGAAGGCATCATGGCCACACCAACATCCCTAGATCCAGATTTGGTCCGGGAGGTGCTGGAATGCCCCATTTGCCTGGAAACCTACAACCAGGATCAGCTTCGACCCAAGCTCCTGCAGTGCGGTCACTCTGTGTGTCGCCAGTGCCTTGAGAAACTCCTCGCCAGCACGATAAACGGTGTGCGCTGCCCATTTTGCAGCAAGGTGTCTCGAATGAGTAGTATTTCCCAGCTGGCTGACAATCTCACCGTGTTGAAGATCATTGACTGTGCGAGTTCTTGTGTCTCCACCATGGGCCTCATGTGCAAGTCTTGTAAAAACCGCCTTCCCCGTCAGTACTGCCGTGACTGCAGCGTTGCGTTGTGCGATATTTGTAAAAGCGAGGGGCATCAGCGTCAGGGCCATGTCGTACAGGTCATTCGAGTGGCTGCCGAACAGTGCCGGAAAGACATCACCGGGAAGCTTTCCAACTTGCGGGAGGCAATGGGCAATATTCAGAAGAAGAAGGCAGCAATCGACAACGTGACAAAATCGCTCCGACTGAAGTACAAGGCTGTACAGCAAGAGTACGCCAAGGCCGAGTTGCGGATCCAAGAGGAACTTGGCCGCTCCCGTCGTGCCTTTGCCACGTCCTTAGCCGAAATAGAGAAGCTGAATGCCCAGATTCTGGAAGAGCAGACATACTTGCTCAATATCGCTGAGGTGCAAGTGGTGTCAAGGTGCGACTACCTAACCATGAGGATCAAGCAGACTGATATTGCTCTACTGGAGGAAGGGAGTAACAATGAAGAAGAGGAGTTGGACATAAAAACCAATCCTGCGGTCATCCTGAAACTACAAGAGCCTGAACTGGTTAAAATGGAGTTTGCGAAACCCTTAGAGGTGGGGCAACTGACCACAAAACCCTGCACGGTCAATGCCGAGGAGGAAGATGGAGTCGATTTCGCCGCTTCCGGCCCTTTGGACATGTATCGTGATATTGACATGGTAACAACAGTTGAAGACGCTGTTTGCGCTTCTTCTCCGGTAGCTTCAAGTCCAAGTCTGTAGACGGAGGAGGACCTTCTCCAGGGGCTTCTGGTGGGCAGCTTTGTCAGTTCGTGAAAAAGATGGGATGTAAGGGCAATCTGCCGGGCATGTTCAACTTGCCGGTAAGCATTTGTGTTACGCCGCAGGGTGAGGTTCTCGTGGCCGACCGAGGGAATTACCGCATCCAGATCTTCAATCGCAAGGGCTTCCAAAGGGAGATACGGCGCAACCCGAGCAGCATCGACAACTTTGTCTTGAGCTTCCTCGGTGCTGACCTTCCCAACCTCATCCCTCTCTCGATTGCAATCAATGCTCAGGGACTCATTGGTGTCACTGACAACTATGACAACTCGGTGAAGGTTTACACCACCGATGGCCACTGCGTCGCCTGCCACAAGAACCAACTCATCAAGCCATGGGGAATCGCGGCTATGCCTTCAGGGCAGTTTGTCGTGTCCGATGTCGAGGGCGGGAAGCTGTGGTGCCTGGCTGTGGATCGCAACGTAGGGGTAGTGAACTACAACCGATTATGCTCGGCCGTCAGACCCAAATTTGTAACTTGCGACTCCTCAGGTACGGTCTACTTCACGCAGGGCTTGGGTCTAAACATTGAGAATAGACACAACGAACACCACCTCGAAGGGGGCTTTTCCATCGGCTCGGTGGGAATGGATGGGCAGCTGGGAAAGCAACTCAGCCACTTCTTCTCAGAGAACGAGGACTTCCGTTGCATCACCGGGATGTGTGTGGACTCCAACGGGGACTTGATCGTGACGGATAGTGGGCGTAAGGAGATACTGCAGTTCCCTAAAGAAGGTGGTTATAACGTTCTCATTCAGGAGGGCCTTACGTGCCCTGTAGGTGTAGCTGTTACCCAGAAGGGACAACTCCTCGTCTTGGATTGCTGGGACCACTGTGTGAAGGTTTACACGTACTTGCAAAGGAGACGTTCCTCTACGTGTTAAGACTGCTGTGGACACTTTATAAGACTAGTCACTTTAATTCAATGGCTTAAGTACAAATGCGTTTGCTTTCTGACCTGTGACTTGCAGCGGCTGGGATTGATCCCAGCCGCAACCATTCACCACTGCCATGGAGGAATTGGATTATGGCTTATGGGTATTATTATGGATGCTTTGGGCAAATGGATTTTGAACTATAGCACAACTGATGGCAATAACGGAAAATGTTGTTCTTTATGCGTTCATTTCTGTTCTCATATGTTTGGTTTTCTGTGTGTGTGTGTGTGCTGCTGTATAGGCATTAAGATGGTGAGTTAATGACAAGTGATATTATAGGAATATTCCAGGTTCATTAGAAGTTAGACTCAATCAACAGCATTTGTGGCATAATGTTGATAATAATTCTTTAAAAAATAAAAGTTGTGGTTTCAATTGCTATGTAAATGGAGTCATGTTTGGAGGATTTAAAAGCAGAAGTGTGAAACTTAAGGATTTATAAGTCCACTCACTGAACACTAATTTACGGATTTAATTACACTATTTAATATAATAACACTATTTAATTTGTTAATAATTTGTTGTTCTCTGCACTCGTAAAAATGAATATGCTTTATGTAATCAATAAAATTGTGGCAACAGATTACAAACAATATTATTAATTAAATGTAACAAATTAGAATTGAGTAATAATTAATCAAATTATTTCTTAAAAGTTAAAATGAGTAAAGTTTACACCAAGAAATGTAACAAAAATATCTGAATAACAGACAGACGTCAAAGATTAATTAAGAGCTCTTTATTTTAAATTGCCAACATTGAAGACGCCTGATGTTAACAAGCTCTTCGAAGGAGAAAACCGTCATTTTAAAACGAACACCGATCACCATAATGGTATGGAGGCGTATTGCATTCACTTGAAGAAAAAAAATCTACTCTGTTTTTCTGAATTAACGAGTTAATTTTTTCATGAGAAAAACAATTTGCTCTGTTTTTCTGAATTAATGAGTTAGTTTTTCTTGAGAAAAAAAGTTTTTGCTCTGTTTTTCTGAATTAATGAGTGAATTTTTCATGAGAAAAAAAAATTTGCTCTTTTTTTCTGAATTAATGAGTTAATTTTTCATGAGAAAAAAAATTTGCTCTGTTTTTCTGAATTAATGAGTTAGTTTTTCTTGAGAAAAAAAGTTTTTGCTCTGTTTTTCTGAATTAATGAGTTAATTCAGAAAAACAGCAAAAAAAAAATTCCATTAAAAATTAACTCATTAATTCAGAAAAACAGAGCAAAATTTTTTTCTCATGAAAAATTAACTCGTTAATTCAGAAAAACAGAGCAAAAAAATTTTTTCTCATGAAAAATTAACTCATTAATTCAGAAAAACAGAGCAAAAAAAAAATTCTCATGAAAAATTAACTCGTTAATTCAGAAAAACAGAGCAAATTTTTTTTCTCATGAAAAATTAACTCATTAATTCAGAAAAAAAAGAGCAAAATTTTTTTTCTCATGAAAAATTAACTCGTTAATTCAGAAAAACAGAGTAGATTTTTTTTCTTCAAGTGAATGCAATACGCCTCGTATAATGGTGACTTAAATGTACGTTTTTTTTTTTTGTACGTTTGACTCATTTTAAATGGTTAACTTTTAAGGAATTAATTTGATTAATTATTACTCAATTCTATTGTTAAATTGAATTAATAATATTGCTTGTAATCTGTTGCCACAATTTTTTTTGATTAGATTTTTACAGTGTGCATTTATTTTTTAATTGTTGATTTACATTTTTTTTATTTACATATATATATAGTATACCATTTTTTTGAGGGAATTAACATTGTGCCACAAGTGCAATGATTGATCTTAACTTGTACTGTAACTGTACCCAGAATATTACTAATGGGAAGGTGATTTGACTTCATTTGATTTGGAAAACATGACTCAAAACGATGCTGTGAGTGTCATGTTCATGTTTAATCGTTGTAATGAGTTCCCATAATGCCCTGTCCATTAAAGTGCCCCCTTATAACTGAAGGACTTTCTGATTTCTGTGACGGTATGGATTTTCTACGTATTAAAATACAGTTAAACTAAAGAACAGTACGCTTGAAAAAAAATGTCAAGTTATTATTACTACAAAGGTTATATATTATAGTTATTTGTTTATTGTGAACTGGTCTAGTGTAACCCAGTTTGTATGTTGCAGGAACCAAAGGCCTGTCAAATTCAGGAGATATTTACAAGCCTATCATGAGAGTAACTGAAGAAGGGAAATTATTCAGCAATTTACAACATATTTGAAATGATAATTTGCATTAAAGTGTCCTTGTATCTGAAAGGGTGGATCTTGAAACTGTCCTTCTTGAAAGCTTTAGACAGCACTGAGCTTGTTGTCTTAAACCCATTATCACATTTCAAGTACATTGCATTAGACATGAATGCAAACGTCTTGTTTTATGTCCATTTTCTCTTTACTGTAGGTCAACTACTGTCATAAACAGTTATGGCATAAACATTTAAAGGCAACTTATATCACCTTTTTGAGGTTTCTTATTGCCAAACCGCAAGTATATTGAACCGGACCACAGTGTGTTGGCCATGCATTTGCGTAGTGTGTTTCTGGCCTTATTAACTGTAACGCTTAAGCTATAATAAACGTGCATTACCAACAAACGCAGAAAGCCTGCATTGGCCTTATAATAAATGCACAGGTGATCCAAACATAAAATGCACGATCTGTCGTGTCATTAGAAAAGTGAAACATGGTTTTCATTAGAGCCCGACCGATAAAGGATTTTGAAGGCCGATACCGATACAAATATTTTTTGGTTTTAAAATCCGATATATCGGCCGATATATATATTTTTTTGTTTCAGAAACGCGCAACAAAACATTAACAGATTTCCCTAACATTAGTTATTTATGAGTTTTAACTAAAATAATATGTAGTATGACAATGCATTTTAAAAAGAAACTTGTTTCTTATACTGATGATATTGGCATTAGCTTTATGGTTAGGTGTAGAGTGCCCTCTGGTGGACAAACTATACAACTCCAACACTAATGACATGGTTCAAGCGTGTTTCGTCCGTTTTTATCTTATTTTTGAAATATTCATTTATCGGCCATTATAACTGCTGATACCGATAGTTTGGAAAATGCCCAATATCGGCCGATAATATTGGCCTACCGATATATCGGTCTGGCTCTAGTTTTCATTGAATTGCCTGCCATACTGGTTTTTAAAGACCACTTTTATTTTTGCATTCATGCAACTGTGATTCAGGTACAATTGAACAGTTAAATTCATCTAGCTTTAATCCTAAAACAATACTAAATCACAAATTCTGTTGAAACGCAAGAGTAAAGACGCCTTGTATGCACCTTTGTATGTTTTGGCTGCTTTAATTGCTCTTATAAAATCCAGAAGTTATTTTATGGCCTTATAAAATATCATCTTGTGTATCCTTTTAATGGCTCTCACTTAATATAATATGTCATTTATGTAATAAAATGTCAATTAGTAATCAGTTTCAATAGTATTTCTTTGCCGTTTCCTTAGTCATTGACTAATTGATATATTTCTAATCAGTATCAAGCAGTAATACATGGAGCTTTTACAGTAAACTGGAGTACGCAACAAGATCAAATTTGCACAGTAAAAAAAGAGCTAAATATCAATTATCACAATTAAAAGATGTGTTAAGCATCATTATCTTAGATGTATAAAGCAATATATGAAGAATGGGTCCCAGAGATTTTGCTACTTATTTTTACTTCTAGTAAACGCACAAATCGTTTGTCATTCTGTAAATGTATAATAGAAGACCATCATGAGTGAGTGTTTTTTGTTGGTTGTCAAAGCATAATGTGCAACAAATCAAGTATATTCATATGTAAATCGCCTGGGTATTTAACATCACCCATCGTGATTAGGGGAATATCAGTCATAGTAAGGCCTAAACAATGAGTATTTTCTCAAACTGTTGCGCATTTCTCAGAGTTCATCCAAACATAATCATGTTGGTGTCAGTGAAATGAGTCCCGAATTTGTGTTTGTAATGTTCATGACCAGTTGTGTGCAATAAAAGAAACATGATGTGAGATTATCTATTTTTTTCTATTGTATTAAAGATCATGCCTTCATTATACTGAAAAATAAGCCATTACCAGGTCAACTGTTGGACACTTTTAATCATGTTTAAAAGCAAATGAATGCATTTTAAATGATTCTGTGGAATACAGTTTTGGGAAAATAGGTTAATAAACAAGTTATTTATCCATCTGTACATCTGACATTAAAGCATCAGATGCATGCAATGAAGAGAAAAACTGCTCACAAACGGTGGAAGCTTGTATGTGTATCTTCAAAACAGTAGGTTTGGGTAAGCAGACGTGAAATTTTGTCCCTGCATGAAAACCCCTGGACTAGTTCATACACTAGTTTTACACTCAAAGACTCTCTGCACAACGAATCACAGACAAAAGATGCATCCGGAAACAATTAAAGCGACAGTATGGAGGATTTGGTGGCCCTAGTGGCTGAGAAGAGCAAAGACATAGCAAAAAATTGATGAAAAGATATCTGGAAATAATTAGGGCTGTCAACTTTAGTCGTTTAGTCGACTAATCGGTCGATGCCGTCGTGGTCGACTGACATTCTTATTGGTCGACCAGTTGCATTTTTTTTTTTTTTTTACCAATAGAAGGAATTTTTCAATGACTTACTCCTTGATATTTATTCATTTATAATCAGTTATTTATTACTGTATTCTAAATATAATTAGCCTATGTTTTGTCCCCAACTTTAAAATGCTTTAATTTAGGCTATTTTTGTAACTGCCCCACAGTTTAGCGCACACACATAATACACTCGGGAACCGCACCTGTGGCTGGCTGCGCTGCTGCTCGCGCTCGGTAAGGGATGCTGTATTCATTCTGTTAGAACGCTGCTTGTTTTGGTTTTGTCGACAAAATGTCCAGGAAATATAAATCTTTTGTCTGGCTGCATTTTAAAACAAAGACGACAAGACTGTGGAGGGAGGCGATCGCGTTGCCATTATGAGCGCGCAAGTCGCGCGCCTACATTTAAAATCGAACTTGAGCGCGCAAAAGACGTGAGCAGCCTTTTAACGGCTATATCATGCTGACTCAATAGATTGTGTTTTCTTAATGTTTTCGTTTTTATTTGTACACTTGACGCATTTGAAAATAGCCTAAATAATGCAACAAAACGAAAATAAACCTATACGCGGTACAGCCTATTATAGGATTGTTTTTAAGTTATTTGGGTTTTTTTGAGTGTTGTTTTGCTTGATCGTCAGGACTAAAGTTAACCCATAGCTTTGAAAGTAAAGAAGAATATAAAGCCTGTATAAACGAGAGTTTTTGTTGGGATTTTTCATTATGTGGCACAGTGGCAGATATTTTTTGCAGCGTGTGGTGTGGTCAGGTGCGCGATTGTGACTGTTACTATAGACCTAGGACAGAGCTCTTCACTTTTTGCAGTTAAAAAATCACTTAATTTTCAAAGAATTATATTATTATTATAGTTTTATTTATTTGTGATGTTTTTTCGTTGTTGTTTTATAAATGCTCAATGACAATTGTTTAAAAAATGTTTAATCAAAATATCACGTTTTTTTTATTTTTATTTTTTTTTTAGTCGACTAATC